ATTGAAGTTGTAAATTTTATTAAGGACTTAAAATGATTTTTTATAGGTGTAGATTGATGAAATGATAGAATATATTTTTTAAAAAATAGAAATGCACTTATATTATTACTACAAATATGATAATTATGTTGTAATAGAGAGGAAGAGTTATTGGTGACAGGGAAAAACTAAATTTAATGAATGGTTTGTTTTTTTTTTTTTTGGTGGTGTTAAAGTATCTTGCTGAATTGGTAATGATTTTGGTGATCTGAATTACTTAAATGAATAATTTTTACTAATATGGAGGAGATGGATTGTTTATAATAGAGTTTGTGGAGTTAGAGAAATTAATATTCGTTTACTTATATCTGAATATTAGCCTTGGTTATATCTGAATATTAGCCTTGGTTTGGGAAGTCCGGGGGGGTGGGATATAATATTGTGTAATAATATTGTGTAATACTGGTGTTGTTTTTTTTATGATGAAAACAATAAAATTTTATATTGAAAAAAAAAAAAAAAAGATGAAGCACAGTTATTTTTTATAGAAGTTCAGGTGTAACTCCATTGTTATCAGGTTTGATATTTGTTCATTAATGGATGCCTTATTTTTCTCCTTCTACCAGCTATGACCATCTGGTTGCCCAGATTACACTTTAGGTAATACTTGTAATTTTCTTCTGAGTGTATACATACGTTACATCAGAATTAGGCCAAACACTTATTCTTCTCCTTAGGCCTCCATTATTTTAGATTTTAGGGGAAATGGTGATCCTGAAGCAAGAAAGGATACATTCATACGTGCTAAAATGTTTTTCACTTTAGGGACTAGAAGGAAGCTCCAATTAAGTTTCAGGTTCTTTTCAATTAATTTATCATTGACCTTTAGCATTCATGGATTTAAAAACATATATTTTAAAAATGTGATCATTCACCACAATATCACTGAATATATAAAATCTGACCCTTCATAAAAGCAGTGAGAATGTTGTTACCGAATTAGGTCCAGCAATGCATCTGCAGAACTCATTATTGGCTTCGCACCTTCTTCAGTAACTTCCTTCTGGGCTGCTCCACCAGGATGGATAATAGAGACCATAATGATTCCCACAATTACAGCCACAAATGTAGTCCACAGATAGTAAGTGATTGTAATGATGCCTAATCGACTAGACGTTTTAGCATCCAGAGCTGCTAGTCCTGACATCAGGCTGTTGAAAGAAAACACAAAGTACTGTATGTCTTTTTTCCTTCTTATTTGATTAGGTCTATTACTATATCCAGGGAAAGGGCAACAGATTTCGATCTAACCTTTCTTTGAGCAAAGATGATTAAAAGAAGACTTGCTTTAGGCCTCTTTTGCAGGAGACTATAGCAAGGAGCTGATCGGGAAAGAGCAGAAAACCATATTTGAAACCTAGATGTATGTGGTTAATTCATACTTTGTATTCAAGTTTCAAGACTTAAGTTAAATTAAAATAGGGGATTCACATGGACTCATCCCTAAAGATTTGTCTGTTGTATGTTATTTAAGCAAACAAATGTCTTAATTTTTCCTAATCCCACCCCAAAATTTTCTTCATATTTCTTTTTTATTATTAGATAGGCATATAAAATGGACTGAAATATGTGAGGCCAAACACTATATATATTCTCCATGTATGGTACAGATTACAGCACATCTAAGAAAAAATACCTTTTGCAAGCATTAAGTGCCTCTAAGACTGATCCTGCTACCAATTGAAAAAGCACTTTATAGCTATTTCATCTGCTTGACCTTTGCAGAAAAATGGAGGTGTCACAGGACAGCCATATATGAAAGAGAATGACACTGTAACATTAGATGAATGAGCAATTGTTTATACATTGCTAAAGCTCTATTCACATTATGTATTAATTGTTTTTTTTTGCATAGCTATAATTATTTTTAGATTTGGAAAGTCATAAGAATCCAGGTCAGTCCAATATGATAATGGAGTTTTATAATATATACAAATTCAGATTAAAATGATTGAGATGCTGAATTTTTATAAAATAATTGTTGAATTTCAGTTTAAGGACTCTAAATTAGGCAAAATAATAAGACACTTGTGGCTGATTTAGGGCCATGCTTGTACCAGGTGAAATCCTTAGACAGAATAAAACGGGATCTTCTGTTAAGTATAGAGATGATCTAGGCCAGGGGTAGGCAACCTTGGCTCTTTTATGACTCATGGACTTCAACTCCCAGAATTCCTGAGCCAGCCAGGAGTTGGGAGTTGAAGTCCACGAGTCATAAAAGAGCCAAGGTTGCCTACCCCTGATCTAGGCTATTTGTCTTCTCATTGAAATGGCAAAACTCTCAGATGTCTACAAGTATAATTTTCCAGTGAGGCATCTAGCTATCAAAAGATAACCCAGTTGTTTTATCAGTATAAGTTGCAGCATATCTGAGATGAAATCAGGATTGGCAAAGCTTTCAACACACCTTATTAACAATAGCCAAACTAACAATTATTAATGGTTTCTTTTTTTATAATGTAGTGACTATCATTTAAAGAAGTCATGTTGAAGTAGAGTTTATCCTCCAGCATAAAATAATGTGTCCTGAAAATTAATAATTTTTATATGTATATTTGTCAATTTCTAATATTCCATGTTTTGTTTGTACATCAATGTCAAAATATATGTGAGATTTTATTGTATTTAGTTTCACCGAATATTAGCATATGCCCTCTTTTCTAGAATCTTTATTCTTTAATATCAGATACAAGAAAATTATCCATGATTACAGTTACAAAATAACTTCCCAGATGTTGAGAATATTAAAGTACTCTTTCAAGTAATGAGAAAACAATAGTTGATCCTTAGGAGAAGGCAATGCTTAAAAAAAACAATCATGCTTTTTGCTTCATTTAATGCATTAAAAGTAGCAGATTTACTGTTTAAACAAAACAGGCAAAAGGAAGAAATCAAAAAGCTCCTTTGAAAAGGAAGTTGAGTTGGAAAGACTGAATGTTCCTAAAAGCAGATAAATTAGTCATAATTCTCCCAAAAAGCAGTTGGGAGGATATAAATCTGTTTTTCCTATCTATGTTATAATCTAAGCTTCCAGTTTATAGGGTTGGAGGAAAGAGAGAGAGAGAGAGAGAGAGAGAGAGAGAGAGAGAACAAAATAAGATTCAATGTAAAATTTAATTCACGTTAAGCAAAAAAATAATCAAACTTGAATACTTTGGAAACTAGTTACAGAGCATTGTGGAAAACTAGTTATCAGCATTCCACCACCCCAAACTACAAGTAGTTCTCAACTTACAACCATTCATTTAATTACCAAAGTTACAACGGCACCGAAAAAAATGACTTATCACCGTTTTTCACATTGATGAGTGCTGAAACATCCTCATCGGCACATGACCAAAATTTGGATGTTTTGCAACTGGCCTGTACTTATGATGACTGCAGTGTCCCGGGATCATGTGATCACTTTTTGAGACCTTCTGACAAGCAGAGTCAATAGGGAAGCCAGATTCAATTAACAACCGTGTTACTAACTTAACAACTACAGTGATTCACTTAACAAGTGGCAAAACTCACTTAACAACTGTCTTGCTTAGCAATGGAAATTTTGAGCTCAATTATGGTCATAAGTCAAGGACTACCCATAGGAATCTTCAGATGTAAATCCTACAATAATTCCAAGACAAATTAACATTTATTTGGTATTAAAAAGTAACAATTTCTGTTACTGTTTCTTCAAAATTCCACACCCCTCGCTTCCAACCCATGCTAGAGAGCCTTGTTTACTGAACCTCTTGTGCTAAAACCAGTTCAAAATCTGATGCTCCAACTTCCTTCTGCTAAGTCCTCTTCCTGTATTTATTTAATGTTTATTATTACAAACCACATTTAATATTTTCAACTTCTTTTGCAAACTAGGTAGTCTTCTACTTCCAAAGATACAGTGTAGAGTTCAGGTGTGGCTACTAGCACTGCACAAGGCATGTAGTTTCCTTTCTAACGTTAAACTACGGAATTTGCTGACATCTGAAGTGGTGATCTGTCGCATTGTAAATAGGTTTAAGAGAGGATTAGACAAATTCAGGGAAGGATTAGACAAATTTCACCTACCCTCTGGAACATCTTGCCCCCCCTGATGTGAGGTCATCCCCACCCTCCTGACCTTTTGTAAGGGCCTAAAGACCTGGCTCTGCCAATTGGCTTGGGGACCCAATGGGGGAACATCATAGTGAAGGTGATTAATTGACTAACAACAGGTCCCACCTCACCCCCTTCCTGCCCCCGCCCTCCCCATCTGTAATTGGATTTTAGCAGTTGGTATTAATTTATGTGTGTGTGTGTGTGTAGTATTTATGATTGTAAGCTGCCCAGAGTTACCCTGTAGTAAGATGGGTGGCAAATAAATAAATAAATAAACAAACGAATGAATGAATGAATGAATGTAAAGGCATACAATTCTATAAGGTTTCTATGCTTTTGTCAGCTGCTTCTGGGATTTTTAAAAAAATTTTTTAACTACTAAGCCTTGTTTACAATCCTGAAATTTCCTGATGAACTTGTATTTACTCTTTTCCAAGATCAGTTATGGCCGATCACCTCTTATGACAGGTATTTTGTACTAAACAACAAAGAAATAACGGAACCTGTTTCCAAAGATAGCAATTTTGTCTACTACATACGGTATAAAATTTACTTCTTACAATGCCTAGAATTGTACACAGACAACACTAGCATAAAGAAGGAATGGCCTACATTAAACTTCAGAAGTCAAGTAGAAGCTATTGCCTCATGGTTTCCCTGTTGTTTCAAGTATTTATTGAAAAGATGGAAGTGGAGCTGAACCCACACGAGACTTCATAAAGATAAGCTCAATACTTTCAGCATGTCAGCTAGCAAAAAGTTATTAAAATGGTGATAATATGCCTACCTATTCCATAAGGCTAAATAAGGTATCTGGAACTTGGCACATGAAAATATCTTCCAAATGTTAGTTTGAACCATTTTCCAGAGTGACCATCATTAAGACAACTTAATTCAGTGTTCCATTCTTTCTGAACAGTGGCAAGGAAACTAGCTAAAAGGTTCACAAATCTGATATGTACATGGAATTTAGGTTTATCTAAATTCATCTGTGCTTTAGCTCTTTGCTTAATTCATTGTCTCAATTTCTGAATGGTGGAAGCCTCAAATGTAATAACTCTGGAAAAGGGAAACATAAGGGGCTGACCATAAACCGATTCAACTCATGCCTCTCCCGCTTGTTCTGTTCCATCCCCCACCAGGAGCCATCTGGATATTGCTTTGAAACGGATGGATTATGGATGGACCTATCAGAGGGGATTAGAGTGATTAGAAAGACAATAATCCTGTCAAGAAGTAATGGTCCAGCATTACCAACCAGCAGTTGCTACAGCATACGTGCTTGTTTTCATTCATTCACCTCTTGATTATATTTTCATTGAATTTCTCTTCATAATTGCTTGCTATGTAAATACCTCTCCCAAATAAATTGAAGCTTTCTTTATTAAAACAATGTTAACAGTATTAGATGTAACCTGATTATGGGGTTGGCAGAACCGAAATACCAGCTCCTGTGTTACAACATAATTATCAGTTTAGCAATTGTCTCATAAATAAAACTGGATATTACAACACTGAACTGTGTACTGATGTTTAAGAAATTAATCCCTTTCTTATCCCAGCCTTGTTTCAACAAACAAAAGATGCTTGAAACCTTGAATCTAAAAAGTGAAAAATAGAAACAAAGTTAGGAAATGAATGAAACACTTTATAACTGACTAGACAATTCTACTCATTTTGGTTCTTGCTGCCATCAACTTCTACATTCTATATTTTCAAAAATGAGAATTAGAACATTTTTGCTTTGTTTTCAAAGCAATCTTGTAGGAGGTCAAATTAACATAGCAGGTTGTGCTGAAATAAATGCAGAAAGAAGCTTTAAAAAGGAATGGATCGTGAAAGATGGTCTATAATTGGAATGTGGAGCCTGGAATAATGGTTTCTAGGCTTCTGATCCTGATCAGAGAAACCTCTCTCATCAGGCAGATGAAATGGTTTCTTGGGCACCAAGTTGGGTTGAGCCATGACAGATTTATGATCAACCATATTTTAAGCAGACCAAAAAACAAAACAAAAAGCAAAACAAAATAACAACTTGGAGTGTAATAGGAAAAATCAGCTAAAGGGGATC